AGATGGAAGAGAAATCGATGAAACAGGGAAAGCACCATGAAATAAACGTCCTACTGGTGCTTCAGAGGTGGGAGAGAGTGCATGAATATCAGGAATAGCTTTATGTTAATCAGTTTGAAAAATGAGAAGAAATGAACACTTTTTGTTTTTCAAAAAGAGAACTTTTTAATTCAGGAGGAATTAATTCAGGAGGAAAGGGAGGATTCGAAGTCTTAAAAGTACAACATAGATCTGCATTAAAAAGCTTTCCTCAGCGTAAACTTCCAGGCTCAGACTGATGAGTAAACTTCGCCAAATAGTTGTGGAAAAAATAACCTGGATCTTGCACAATGCTTCTAGAAAAGAGTAAAGGGGAACATTTTCCAATGCGTTTTTGCCATAATCCCGTCCAAAACCTGATGAGGAAATGGCAAGAAAGGGAAAGTGGAGGAGGCCGCCTCCCCAGCAAATGCGGAAAGAGGGGCCTGCAAGCCGCCCACGCGGAAACAGGAACATCGGCCCAGACCACAGAGCGACCGGGTCCGCACGATGGAAACGAAGTGGGACCGAGACCACAAGCAAAAGTAACTCCCGGGGGCTGCGGGGTTGAGGCGAAGGTGGCAGACTTCTAGAACATAACAGAGGGCGGAATGTTCCATATTTTCCTGACTTCAGGGTAAGAAAAGACATTTTGAAAAAGATACAAAAATACTAACCCTGAGAGAGAGAAGGCTGATGAATTCGACTGCAGCCGCACTAGGGACAATTTGGGATGCGTCCCCGGGGAGCTAACAGAAATGACAGCCTTTGGGCTCAACAAAAATAAAAGTGCTCCTTATCAAAACCTGTGGTCACAGCGGGCCACTCCCAGGCGGGAACCAGCCCCTCAGCCGCCCTCAGAGCAAAGCGAGAGAGGTTGAAAAATAAGTAACCAAACAGCCTGTTTCTGAAGCCAGGAAAAGAACAGCAAAGTATTGAGCATCCAAAGAAAATACGGGGAAAGAAAATGAAAGCAGACTGCAGGGCACAGGAAACGCGCAAAGAAGCAGCAAGACCCAGCCCTGGTGTTTTGAAAAGATGAAGAAAACAGACAGTCCTTTACCAAAAAAGCCTCAAAATAAACAAGTCCGGCAGAAAAGGCGGCACACCCAAGGGTCCAGAAAACTTGGTTAGAAACAAGGGGAAGCCTCGGTGAAACGCACACTCTCCCAGGGAAGCGCTGATTAGCAGCACTGGCCCGGGGCAAAGTCAGGAGTCCGAGGAGGCCAAGCACCAAAAGGGAAGGTAAAATATGAAAGATCCCCCCTCCAAAGCCCACTGGGAGTTTTACAGGTAAAAACAACAATAAAACAAAACAAAGGAGAACAAAGACAACTAACTCCTCTCTAAAAGTACAGGCGAACACCGTCATGACCTGGGAGCCCGGCCGGCTCTCCTGAACAGGGAGAGGAGCTACACCACAGAGAACACTGCGGATAAGCTCCTCTGTCCCGAAATCCGCAACGGCCGCAGGGCGCGGGGCCTCGGGACACTTCCAAGGTCAGCCGCTCCCGCGCCTGCTCCCGTGGCTGCACCCGTGGCCGCACCCGCGTCCCTGTCCGCTTCACTGACAAGTAAGACGCAGACTCCAGGACACAGGCCCCCGCACACGTCAGTGAGGAAAGGCGACACCCACCGTAGAACAAAGGCCCCAGAAGGGTGGTCACAGAAGAAATCAGCCACTTCCAAGTGGCTGAACCACACGTCCCAACAGCAACGAGGCCCCTCTGTGCACCCATCCAGTGCGGACAAAATCTTACAGTTCGGTTACGTCAGTGTTGGGGAGGCTTCGGGGTAACCGCACGGACCCCGAGCTGGGGAGCACATCTGGGGCAGCCCCGTGGGACGGCAGTTAGTGACGGCTGAAACTGAAAATGCGGGTGTGATTACTGTTAGCAGCTCTATGCCTGTTTTTCTCTGTACAGGAAAAAGAAATATATCCAAGAAGGTTCATACGAAGAGGTCCATTTTAACATTTAAAAAATAATGGCAAACAAACGTTTGCTATTGAAATGTCCTTGATAGGTAGATGGGTAAGTAGATTGTAATGCATTTAAACGACAGTGTGTTAAGTAGTAATAATAATGAACACATTAAAACCATATAAATCAATGTGGCTTGATTTAAAAAAATATCGCTGGGCACAAAAGCAAGACACAGAATAACTTGAACAATGTGATACCATTTTTTAAAAATACATTTTTAAAAAAGATTTTATTTACTTACTTTTTAGAGGGAAGGGAAAGAGAAACAGGGAGAGAGATATATCAATGTGTGAGAGATACATTGATTGGTTGCCTCTCGCCGGCCCCCAACTAGGGAACCTGGGCCGCAACACAGGCAGCGCCCTGACGGGGAATCAAACCAGTGACCCTTTGGTTTGGAGGCCGGTGCTCAGTCCACAGAGCCACACCAGCCAGGGCAATACCATTTGTATAAACACAAACAAGGTTATATAGTTTCAGGGACATGCCCGTGTGTAAAATTTTTTTAAAACATCTGGAGGGGCGCAGGCCAAGCTGCTGGTGTTGGGCAGATTTTTCGGGGTCTCTGAGGATGGGGTAGGAGGCCAGAGAGCCAGGAGGGAGGTGGATAAAACACTAAGAGTATCTGCAGGGCTTTAAATAATTAAAAGGAGAAAATGAATGTAACGTTTGTGCAGTTAGAGTAGTAACACAGGGACCCAGCGAGGGCAGGTATTCTGGGCCTGCCATTTGTCATGGAGGTTTGGCATTTGTCGTGGAGGTTTGTCACTTGCCGTGGAGGTTTGCCCTTTGTCGCGGTGGTTTGCCGTCTATCGTGGTGGAGCGAGTTTGGGTTCCCGGGCGGAGGTGCACGGGCCAGGCGTGGGAGGGTGCCACGGCGCAGGATGTCTGGGGGCGCCCGGGTACAGCCGCTGTGGGTGTCAGGGGAGCCCGCTGGAGCCCGAGGCCAGCCCCGCACCCCTTCCCTCGCTGAGCCTTCGCTGAGTGCCTACGAGGGTTCTACAAAAGGAAACGATACGATACTTCAGAGGTCTTGGGAGTGATTTTTGCTCACGCCCTGGCTGGTCGGAGGCATCCGCCTGCGTGAAGGAAAAGGGAGTTGTACCGCAGGAAGGACGCACCAAGAAAGAGTAAGCTAAGAGGATTTTGCCAAAAATGAAAGCAAGGTATTGTTTTGAGTTTTTCTAAATTCTTGTATTCCCCGTCATAGCTGGATTTGGCTCCTGTAATAAATGCCCAAATAGTACTATTGCCTTACATCGGACCGCAGTTTCGTTTCCTTACGTCGGAGTCTGGACACACACGGTCCAGGGAAGGACAGTGGCCTGTGCTTTCAGGGACCCAGGCCTCTTCTCTCTTGTGGCTCTGTGTCCTCCACATATGGCTTCCACTTAATAGCCTCATGTGGCTGCTGTGGTTCCTGCCATCACATCCTCATACCCACCTGGCAGCCAGCAGGAAGCAGGGAAGAAAAAGTGGAGGGCGTGTCTTTCTGTTTTGCAGGCACAACCAGAATCACTCACGTCATTTCCATTCTGGCAAAGGAGGGCTTGCTCCCACGTCTCCTCTCTGCTGTCAGGGCTGCTGGGGATGTTGTCATCTGGGTTGCCAGCCGAGGCCACAGGACCCACCTCCTCCCTGCCCAGGGAAGGTGTGCGGGGTGACCGGGGTCTCGCTGCTCCCCTAGACCAGGGGCTAACCTGCGGAGGGGAGCAAAGAGCGGAGGCCTTGGCTTATTGGTTTCCCCACAGAGACTGAGCATCACCTGAGGGCTACTTAAGTCTCTCGCAGAACTATGTTTTAGTTCTAAGAATGAAATGTTTATTTATTTATTTTTAACCTCTAAGCTGCAGGTGAGCGCCCCACCCACCTGGTTGGATGCAGGTCAAAGCAGGACTCCACACCTTCTGTGCTCCGCTGAGCACAGCTGGCGTGAACTCGGCGATCCAGGTCTTTGCAATCCCTGTCCTCCCTGGGACTGCTGCCTCCTGCTCCTGCCTGACCGGTCCTCCCGGCAGCTCGGCAAGGGCCCCATTCCACAGCCTTAGTCACCTTCCCCACTCTCGGGGTTTATGGAAGCTTGGGGCTGTGGAAGCTTCAAAGTCCGCAACAATAATAAAGAGACTTGGCTCACTCCACTTGGCTCGGGCGGCAGCTGCAGGCCGGCGGGGACGCTCCCAGCTGCACGGAGAGGCGCTGGGGCTTGGCCAGGAGAGAGAGGGCTGGCCCCCGCGGGGCCCTGTGGGGCCCGGCCCGAGCCTGGTCTCGCAGGTCCTGTCCTCCTGGTTGCTCAGGCCACCTTCCATCACTTTCGCTGTGCCCAAGACGCTGGAGAGATGCCACCTGTGAGATAGCTCCAGGCCTGGGGTGCTGGGGGGCCCTGTAGAGCACTGGTCTGGGGGTGTAGGAAGACGTGTGCTGCACGAGAAAGCTGTGCGTCATATACTCATTGCACACGCCTGCTGTATTGTGTTCTAGTCGCTCAGCATCTTTTTCACAATGTGCAAACTGACTTGTCCAGGGGTTCAGGGGTCTCCAGGGCCCCACCGTGTGGAAAAACGAGCTCTGCCTCTAGTAACATAGTTATTTCAATACTTTTGATCTATAAACGGGTCGCTTTTTCCATGGTCTTTTGAACAGGTTATAACATGCCTGGTGCCTTTGCTAAGGAAGACAATAAAATCTTTAACACTTGTCCATACCTATACCTAGATGAGAATTATGATTTCCCCTTTCTTGAGAATGACCTGTGAATAGGGGTTAGACGAACTGAATTCTGATCTAACCTCTAGGGTTTAATGATCTTGCGACCTTCAGGAGAACGCTCATTCTGAAAGAGGAAGCTGGTAAGCGCCAGAGAGTTCGCAAGGCAGGCTCAGCGCACCCCGGCCCCGCCCCGGCCCCGCCCCCGCCCCGCCCCTCAACTCCGCCCCTCCCCCCCCCCCCGCCCGGCCCACAATATAAAAAATCCTGGCCACGCGGGTACGAGCCCATAGCTCCGGTCGTCAGGACCCAGACGGAACGGGCACCCGCTCCGCGCGCCGCGCCGTCCTCATTGGCGCACGGGCAGTTGCGGGCGGTCCCCGCGCCTGCGATTGGTCGGCCGGCGGGGGGAGCGCAGCCGAGCGGGCGACAGCGTCATGGAGGCGCCTGGGGCGCTGCGCAAGTCCCGGGCGCGGGCGTCCGCGATTCCTGAGGAGCTTCGGAAGCGGCAGCGGCGGAGGGAGAGGTGTGCAGGGGCGGGGCGGGCAAGCCCCGGAAGGCGGGCAGGGGGGCTCGGGCGCAGGACCGCGGGCCGCGGACCCCACGCCCCGGACCCCACGCCGCCTGCCCGCCTCGGCAGCCAGCCCTCCCCGGGACGCACCGCTCCGCGCAGCAGCTGGCGCCCACAGGGTCTCGGCACCCGGGCGCCCCTCCCGAGGCAGCGGGCCCTCGGTGCCCGGCCGCGGGTCTAGGCAGAGAATCCTAGCGTGGCATTTGTAACTGGGGGCGGCCGGTGCCACTGGGATCGTGGCTGTATTGATGTCCACGCCGGGCAGGAAGGCGTGGTGCCCGGAGCGGCCAGTGTGACCTGGATCTTTAGGGAGGAGGGAGATTGCGTAGGTGGAGAATGGGGAGAAGGGTGTTCCAGTTTGAGGGACCAGAATGGGCAGAGGCACAAAGGCCTCAAAGGCCAGAAAGGGACGGGCATGCCCTTCTGGGCCGCGGCCTCATTCCTCGCTGGGGCATTTGCTTACCTGGGAGGTAAGTCAGGTGCGCAGCTGTGGCCCCCTTCCGGGAGCAGCCCCTGCAACTTTGTTTTTAAAGCCCGCTCAGTGAGGCCACTGGGTGTTTCAGCCCGGACAGCAGTGGAAAGCCAGTGGTCCCTGGCTGCTCCGAGGTGGTGCCACTGGGTGGTGCCTGGCTGGTCCCTGGGCGCCAGGACGGCGCTGCTCCGAAATTGGAAAGGGAGCGTGGTGGGCAGGGGCATTTCCGCCTGAATCGGTCCCGTCCCTTCCCCCCACCTCTGTACATTAGGAGCCCTGGTCCCGCCCCGAGGTCTCGCTCAGTGTTCAGGCAGACCCTCAACAGGGAGCTCTGCCCGCTCCCTGCAGAACAGGACATGGAAGTGGGGTGTTGACAGATGATACACTTCTGTTAATGGAGAAGTGGCCTTGGAAGCTGGAGGGTTTAGGGAATTGCAACTCTGAAGCCTGGGGCCGCCTCTCACTGCTGCAGTAACAAGAGTAATAATCGCTTTTAAAAATGAGGGCGGTTTAATTATTTATCCAGCGCTTTCCACCTTAAGGCCCCAAGGGTGTTCTCTCCCCGAGAGCCGCCCCCCAGGACAGCCCTGCGCTGCACGCCCCGCCGCCCTCCCCGGGGGCTTGGGCCCACAGAACCCACGCAGGGAGCCGTGGACCAGGGAGAAGACGAGCCGCAGCCTCCTGGCCCCTCACGCTGCCTAGTTCTTCGAGCTGCCCTGCTCCTTGGCTGCAGCAAAACCTGCGATGTATTCCCCCGGTCTCTCCAGGGTGATGTTGGGATGGCTCTCTTGGAGTTCAGAGGCTCACGTGTCCGTGCCCCATAGCAGGGGCTGCGCTGCCCGTCTGTCCAAGCCCAGGCCGAGCCTATTGCCAGACGAGCCGCTGGGCTCGCTCCGATGCGCAGTTCCGCGGTTTGCATTAGCAACACGCGCCAGAGCGTGTCTGCCTGTACGTGTGTCTGTATGGGCCTGGTCCATTGGCTCCTAAGTGTTCTTTTTCTTTACCCTTTTCTTTAGAAAAAAATAAAAAACTCCCTCTTTGCTTAGAATTGAAGAGGATCAAGAGGAGGCCGTCTTCCGCGAAGTGGTCAGTTTCACCCCGGATCCTTTGCCGGGTGAGAGGCCGGGGCACCCCACCCCACCTCCGCGCTCGCCCTGGGGGCTTCCTGGCCGGCCACCCACTTCCTGTCTCAAGTTCTCTCTCAGTCGTTGTTATTAATAATCCCATACTTTCCACTGCTTCCTCTTCTGACCAGTCAGATACTATGACAAGGACACCACCACCCCCATCAGCTTTTACTTGTCGTCCCTGGAGGAGCTCTTGGCGTGGACACCCAACATGGAGGACGGCTTTAATGTGGCCTTGGGGCCCTCCCAGTGTCGGCAGCCCCCCCTGAGCAGCCGGAGGCCCCGGACTTTGCTCTGCCACGACATGATGGGCGGGTACCTGGATGACAAGTAAGGACACGGGAGGACGTTGTCTACCTTTATTTTGTGCTTGTCTTCCTTCAGGGCCCGGGCTGGAGGGGAGGGAGGGCGCCGCCGGGCAGAAAGGGCCTGGGGGCTGAGGAGTCGGGCGGGAGAGCAGCCCGGGCCTCGGCGCCTCACCTGGAGGGCGCAGGGCGGCAGGCGGTTCGGGGGCAGCTCTGAGACCATCTGGTTCCGCTGGCGCCTGAATATGGCTGGTCGGTCAGGACGCAGCAGCACGACACCCTCTCCGGAGCCTGGCCGGGCCTTTGGTCCTTCTCCCGTCTCCTGCTGCTGCTTCCTCACCGGGGCTCTCGTTCCATCTCGGCCCCCTGGCTTCGGGCTTGGATGCTTCGAGCTCTCACATGCCCTGTCAGGGGCATTTCCTCCATGGCTGCTGCCCCGTGAGCTCACAGATCTCCAGCGACCGGTAAACACCCTTTGACCTCCCTGCTGACGGGAAGGCTTGTGTCAGGGGTGGCTGATGAGGTCCGGGAGCCTTGCGTGCCGGGACGCTGTCCGGGAGGAGCTGCGCACGGGGAACAGCGTGGATCGCCTGGGGCTTTGCAGACTCCTGCTGCTCCTCTGCCCTCCTCTCGTGTCCTCTCTGGGCACCGAGGCTCCGACAGGAGGGCCTGCTGGGCTGGGTGGACACGTTTCCCTGGAGACCGATCCGCCCCTCGCCCTACTCTCTGTGCGGTGCCTGGCGCACGCCGGCTTTCGGTCGGTGCCGATGGACGGACTGGGAAGAGCCTCGCTCAGGACGGCGGTCTCCCCCGGGAGGCCGCGAGGCTTCGCCCTGCCTTCCGGGCCCCAGCCTGGCTCTGTCTCTCCACCAGGTTTGTCCAGGGCTCGGCGGCCTCGAGCGCCTACACCTTCTACCACTGGCAGCACATCGACATCTTTGTGTACTTCAGCCACCACATGGTCACCGTCCCCCCGGTGGGCTGGACCAACGCCGCCCACAGGCACGGGGTCTGCATGCTGGGTAAGGGCCAAGGCTGCGCCTGCGACTCAGCCGGCCTCCACAGCGCGGCTGCCGGGTGGCGCACGGGGTCAGGGCCGGGCACTGCCTCCACAGCAGGGAGCGCTTCACCGGGAGCTGCCTCGATGGGTCCGCACGGGCGGAGGCAGGCGGGCTTGACCTGAAGAGGAGAGGAAATACCTTTAGCTCTGTGGGCCGTGGGTCACTGTTGAGTTACTGCCGAGGCAGGCGCCTCCGCAGGTGACAGGCGGGCAGGTGGTGGCTGTGTTCCAGGACGGTCGGTCACGATGATGAAAACACGCGGTGGCCGACCCCTGGGTACGGCCGCATTTCTTAACCTCCGCCTGCCTCTGGGCCTCCGCGGGGCGAGGGTGCGGCGCGGCTGCGCCCTGCCCCAGGGCATCTGACTCAGCCGGTCACAGGGATGCTGCAGGCACCACGCTGCCGGCGGCGTTAGCCAGGGGAGCCCACGCCTGACCCCGCTGCTGCCCTGCCCCCGCAGGCACTTTCATCACCGAGTGGAAACAAGGGGGACAGTATTGCGAAGCCTTCCTGGCCGGGGACGATCGCTCGTACCAGGCGGTGGCGGATCAGCTGGTCCTGATGGCCCAGTTTCTGCGCTTTGATGGCTGGCTGGTCAACATTGAGAACTCCCTGAGTGTGAGCACGGCCTTTCTCGTGGCGTGGGTCCCGCTCAGCGCCTGCTGCCACGGGCCGTCCCCCGCCGTGTCCTCCTCCGCCTCCTCCTCCTCCGCGCCCACACCCAGGCCAGCTTCCTGTGACAGCAGCCGGAGCCGCTTCGCGCTTCCCAGGGAGAGCCAGCTCCCTCTGCGCTGCCTGGAGACGGGGCCTGCCCCAGCGCTGGGTCCAGAAACCGTGGGTGGCGGGGCTCTGCTCTCTGGCTCTTCGAGGCGACATGCGTCCGCCGCCGCCTCCGTCCTGCTTGGCTCGGGCTGCTTGTGTGGCTTCCTCTCGCGACACCCTCCCTTCTTGCGGTGTTTCGTCTTGTGACCGCTGCGTCTGGTCCTTCCTGCCTCAGAAGGGAGAGCCGGGCATCCGGCTGGACCCTGCTGTGGGCCTGAGGGGCTCCCGGGACCACGGCTTTTTGGTGGGATCGGGGGTCCTGTCCGTCCTGCGCCGGGCACTTGTGACCACCCCCGCCGGGCCTCACCGAGGGTCCTGTCTCCGTCCCTGGGTGCAGCCGGCTGCTGTAGGGAACCTGCCCCGGTTTCTCCAGTACCTGACAGCGCAGCTGCACCAGCAGGTCCCGGGCGGCCTGGTGCTCTGGTATGACAGCGTGGTGAGCAGCGGGCAGCTCAAGTGGCAGGACGAGCTGAACGAGCACAACCGGTGAGCCCGCAGGGTGGCAGCCCCGCCCCCGGGCCGCCTGCGGTGCAGGGGCTGGCGCGTCCTGTCCCCTCGCCGCAGCCCTCAGCGCCCCCTCCCTGCCCACAGGGTCTTCTTTGACGCCTGCGATGGCATCTTCACCAACTACAACTGGCGGGAGGAGCACCTGGAGCACATGCGGGGCCAGGCCGGGGAGCGCCAGGCCGACGTCTACGTGGGGGTGGACGTGTTCGGCCGGGGCAGCGTCGTGGGGGGCCGCTTCGACACCAACAAGGTGGGCGTCGGCCCCAGGGCGGGGGCGGGGGCGGGGGCCGGGCCGCGGCGTCAGCGCTTCCCATGGACCCCGGGTGCTGGGGACCTTGCGTTCCCGTCCCACCTCACGCGAAAGGCCGGCGGCAGTTGCTCTTCCCAGGGCGGGAAAACAGGCACCAAGCAACATCGTGACCCGAGGCCAGGCTGTTCCCTAATGTCCTGGCCCCAACCCCTTCCTGCGGTTCGGGGGCACTTTCTATAGAGGTGCCCACGCCTCCTCTCACGGGCTGCTCGGGGCCAACGTCCGAGGTGAAAGCCCCGCAGTTCGGGAGCCGCTGGCGTTCTGGCCAGTTGGGTCCCGTCAGCAGCGAGAAGAGATGGGTGGGGGCACCTGCTGTGGGATAAGTAGGGCGTCTGCCTGTCTCCCAGGCTGCCCCGCCCCTTCCTGGTGGCCACGGGACGGTCTCACTGATTAATTGAGCGTAAGTGGCTGAGTTAATCCAATAACTGAAGGTTCTCTCCACCCCCTCTGAGTCAAATAACAATGGGAGGTGGAGTGAGAGAGACAGGCACCCTGTGAGCGCCCCACCTGTGGACCCCCTGCTCCCGGGGCCATTTCCCAGTGGAGCGCCCACTTCCGGTTGCCGGTGGCACCGCAGGGGATGACCCCGAAGCTGAGCGGGGCTGGGAGGGCGAGGGCAGCCCGGCTCCCCCCGGGTCCCGCGCCCAGCACCCCCAACTGCCGCCTCCCCAGTCGCTGGAGCTGATCCGGAAGCACGAGTTCTCGGTGGCCCTGTTTGCGCCCGGCTGGGTCTATGAGTGTCTGGAGAAGACGGAATTCTTCCAGAACCAGGACAAGTGAGTCTTGCCCCGCCTGGGGGCTGAGCGTGGGCTGATGGCGGTGAGGGGTCTCCGGCGACTCCTTGGGCTTCTCGAAGGAGCTCGGGCCTTGCTCTCCAGGGGCTGGTGAAGGCAGAATGAGGGGCTCACCCACCTTGGCTGCTTCCGGGGGGAGGGCCCCAGAGACGGGACGCTACCTCGCGTCTGTGGTGCCGGGGCCGCAGCTGCTCTGGAGGGGATGCGGGAGAGCCTGCGCCCGGGAGTGCGCCCTGCCCCGGCCTTCAGCTGCGGCCTCCGTGCGTCTCCCTGCAGGTTCTGGAGTTTGCTGACCCGCTATCTGCCCACGCACAGCATCTGCTCTTTGCCCTTTGTCACGTCCTTCTGCCTGGGCATGGGGACTCGCAGAGTCTGCTATGGCCAGGTGTGTGGGTCCCCGCGCTGGTGACCGCGGCTGTGGGGCTCCTGGCTCGGCCGCGTGCTGGCAGAGGGGCCGCCTTCTCTCCATGTCTTGGGGTCTTGCCTGGGAGAGGCGGCAGACCCTGGGCGTCTGTGAGGGGACGGTGGTGGCTCTGCGCTTCCTGTCCCGTCATGCACACCTCCAATCTTACCTTCTCCAGGAGGAGGCGGTGGGGCCCTGGTATCACCCTGGCGCCCAGGAAATCCAGCCCCTGTTTGGCGAGCACAGGCCGGAAGGGGACGGACAGGGCTGGGTGAAGACACACGTCTGCCTGGCCGATGCCTGGAACGGGGGCAGCTCCCTGCTCATCCGGGGCCTGATCCCGCCCAAGGTTGGGCAGGTGGCTGTGAGGTAGGTGCGTGAGCGAGGAGACAGGTGGGGGCCGCCAGCCCCTCCCTTGTCGGTGCCGACCCTCAGCGGGCAGAGGAGCGCAGGGGCCGCGGGAGGACAGGACGGAACTGAGGCTCGTTCTGTTGCAGTAAAAACCACGTAACCCCCAGTTTGCCGCATGAACCGGTTGTGCGTGTGCCATACGGTAGTGTGAGCTCTTTGCGCGCTGGCGGGCAACCAGCTTCCAGGACCTCACCCTGCAAAGCTGCAGTGGCCCCGCTGGCACCAACTCCTGCGCCGGCGTCGGCACAGGCAGCCGCACCCACTCTCTGTTCCTGTGGCTCTGACGACCTCAGCTTCCTCGTGTGCACAGGATTTTGGAACAGAGATTCTTCGGCCACGGGGGGATCCGGCCTTGGGGGCAGGCCGTCCCCAGCGAGGGCAGGACGTGGGTGCAGCAGCCGCTGCCACCCACATGCCCTTTCCTGGGGGGCGGTGTGGTGGTGGGGCCCGGAGCCCCCCGAGTTTCTCAGCGGTTCCTCTCCGGCCTCATCGCGGGACTTTCCTCCTCCAGGTTGTTCTCCCTGCAGGTCCCAGTGCCACCCAAGATCTTCCTGTCGCTGGTGTACAAGCTGGAAGGGCCTGCCCAAGTCAGCGTCGCTTTGGAGCTCACCACGGGGGACGCGGGCAGCTGTCACGTCGGTGACATCTCAGCGCTGAGTGGTGAGGGGGCTCGGTTCCTGCCCGCCTCCCAGGCCTCGCCCCCTCGGGACACCTCGGGGAGCAGGCGTGCAGACGGGCGCCCGGGGTGCGGGGGCGCTGGTTGGCGGTACTGGGCCGTCGCTGTGGTCCAGCTCCGGATGGGGAGGCTCACCTCAGCCCAAACCTCTGGCCGTGGTCCTCTTGGGCGGGGGCCTCCTGCCGGCCGTGGCAGTGGCCGGGAGGACGCCCCCTGGGTTGGGAGAGGCCAGGAGACCGAGGTGGTGGCCGGTCTTGGCGTCCGTCTGCGTACTTACGTGCCTCCCCGCCGCCCTGGCCGCCTTCCCTGCGGCCTCAGCCTGCCCTGGCGGGCCCGAGCGCCCGCGGCCTCAGGGACCCTTGTCCAGCCCCCGGGACCTGGGTCCCCTGCCCTGCTGTGGGTGGTTCTCTTTCTCAAGTCCCGTGTCTCCTCCCCCAGCAGAAACAAGCTCCAGGCACAGTCCCCGACCCCTGCGAGTGCCGCCCACCAAGCTGGCCAGGTGGGCGGCCCGCTGTGGCCAGCAGCTCAGCGGGGGCTGGGTCCAGCGGTGAGTCCCTCTCCTTCCTATTGAGTCCCCCACGGGGAACGGCCATTGTTGTGGGGACCTGTGGAGTGAGGGGTCCTCTGTTGAGAAACCCCAGAACTGGAGGGATGGTGGGGCCCTGGACTGGCCACCCGAGTTGTAGGCAGCTTCCGGAAGCAAGCCCAGGGCACCCTCTGGCAGTGGCCGTGGTCGCGCCTCCGGGCCAGGCTCCCCACTGACCGCGGGGCCCACCTGGGGACGGCTCTGCCCTCCCCCACGGCTCCGGGCCCCTGGACGCCCAGCTCGGACGGCCCGGAGCGGAGGCCGCCCCGTGAGCAGCCTGCCCACCTGCCCGCAGCTGCTACGAGCTCAGCCTGCGCGGCTGCCTCCTGGAGGACCTCTTTGTGAGCTTCGCCCGGCCGCCGGGCAGCCAGGACGAGGAGAGCTTCGCCTGCCGCCTTGGGGAGATCCAGGTCAGGCGCCCAGAGGACACCTGAGGGGGGCCTGGCCGAGGCGTCTGTCCTGCCCCGCTGGCTCAGGGAGGTAGGGTGGGGGCCGGGGCATGGGGGCGTGCAGGGTGGCACCTGGAACCCCCCGGGGCTTCCAGCCACGCCGAGCCTCTCTCTCCCGCCAGGTGGTAGATGCCTACAGCCTGCTGAGCCCCCTGCCCCGGGTGCAGGGCGTCTCCGTGTCTCGGGCCCGCTGGCAGGAGGCGGCTCTCGAGGGCGCAGGGCCCCCGACTGGGCTCCGGCTTAGCTGCACTCTGCACTGGTCCTACCCCCTGACCCACGTCCGATGCTTCCGGATCCACTGTGGCCAAGGGACAGGAGGAGGCCCTCCCAGCGGGGGGCCACTGGAGCCGGAGAAGCCCACGTTTCTGGGCCTGGCTTTTGTCAACCAGTACCGGGTCGTGGACCTGACGGTGGCAGAGGCCGGGCCGGGCCAGGATGGCCGAGTGGAGTTCCTGGTGCAGCCTGTCCCCACGGAGGGGTTCCTGGTGCCCCAGGCCGAGTGGGGCAGGGCGGCCTTGCTGTACTCCAGGCCCAGCACGTGAGCGAGCCCTGAGGGCGCTCCCACCGCTCGGCGCAGGCTTCTCCCACGCTGGGGCCCCACTGCAGGCGGCAGAAGGCCCGGGGCCTGTGGCTTCCGGGGCCTGTGGCTTCTGGGGCCTGTGGCTTTCGGGGCCGGGCACTGGGAACAGGGAAGCGGAGGAGTCGGCCAGCTGGGTGATGGTCCCCTGAGGCGCGTGGACCCCCATCTTTGTCCAGTCGCTCTCTGTAGTACACAGTTCCCCGGGAAATGAGAGGATTTGGGAGTCCAGAACATCCCATAAAGGGAATTTCCAAATAGGCTTTTGCTGAGAACTTTTTATTCCCCAGGTGAGACGATTAGAAATAAACTTACTGAGCGGGGCGGCTTTCTGGGGGCGCAGGCTGCCAGCGGAGGCGCTGGGGGGGCTGTACTTGGAGATGGTGCCCGGGATGGCCTGCCTCCCCTCAGCAGAGGGCCCCCGGCCAGGCCGGCTCGGAGGGTGGGCCGCCACGGGCCACACCGCCTCGGGTCGTGCTTTCTCAGGCGCTGCTCCCCTGGGCGGCCCGTTTCTGCTGCGTCCCTACCGGCCCGGGGCCTGCTGTGTCTCTCCCAGGTCCTAGGTGTGGGCGGGGCTCCTCGGAAGGGTGTGTGCAGGGGCCCCCTCTCTCCCAGCACCTTCCTTGCTCCCTCTGTGAGGGCTGTGGACAGCCCGCAGCTCGAGGAGAGGAGGCGGTGAGCTGGAGATGGCCCCCCCCAACCCCATGGCTCCCCTGGTGACAGCTGGGCCCTGAGGGCAGCCTGCCACCGGCTCCTCTGCTCCTCTCCGGTGCCTGGGGGTGGGGGGCACAAAGGCCTCGCGTCCCTCATTCGGGGGGGTCTCTCACCCAGGCCTCCCAGGGTGGGAATGGGGTTATTCCCCATCCCTGTTGTCCTCGACCTCAGCTACAAGGCGCAGAGGGCTGCCAGGGGCCAGGACACTGGCGTCACCTCCCAGCTGCCGGGGTCCCAGCTCCGGGTCAGCAGACCTGACTGGGCTGTAGTGAGGGGAGAGGCCACCAGGTGGCAGTGCAGTCGCCGCCCAGCCCATCGGCCTCGGAACAGGTGCCGGGTAGGCCGGCAAAAACAGCCTTGGGGACAGCGGAGGGGCTTCCAGGGCGACACTGGCCCCCACGCCCACCTTCCTAGGTGCCCGCGTTCCTCTCGCATAGCACGGCACGGGAGTCCCAGGTGCCGTGTCTTTTCTAATCGGAACGTTTACTTCTCACGCCCCACACGCGTGGCCAGATGAGCTCGGGAGCGGTGAGGAGGCCTCCGCGGGGACAGGAAGGTCCCTGGGCCAGCGCGGCCTCTTTCGGCTCCGAGGGCTCCCTGCCGCGCGCGCAGCCTGTTTCCTTCTGAACCGGGGCTCCTGGCCTCTGCCCCCAGCCGTGGGGGGCGGCTGGGCACCAGAAGTGGGCGACACAGCTGGGACTTAGTTCACGAAGACCCCGTCCCTTTTTAGGGGCGTGAAAAAGTGGTTTCCTCGAATATTTTATGCAGAGGAGGGAAAATTTATAGTGACAATTACTTCCTCGCAGCCTGGTGAGCACGCAGTTAGAGGGGCTCGGCCCTGCCCCCGAGCGCTGGCCAGCGCCACTCCGCCCCGCCCCACTGCCAAACGGCGGCGCTCGTGTGCGGCGAGTTTCAGACAGACGCCGGCGCTTCGTTCCGTGCCCCGCCCCCACCCCCACCCCACCGGTGTAATCGCCCTGAAATAAATTACCCGGCCTTGTGATAATGAAGAGCTCGAATCCTCGAGGCGCGGCTGGGGCTCGCTCGGTGGGTGGCGGGGTCGGCCCTGTCCCAGCGCACAGGCCCAGGGCCTTAAGCCCTTAGCTTGGCGCCGGGTGCCGCTTCCCCTCCCGGTTCCTCCTCCTCTTCCGGGCGGCGGGACGGCGGCCGCGCTCCCCGCGCTAGCCGTCCACGACTGGGCCTCCCAGTGGCCGGAGCGGAGGGCTTGCCTCGAAGCGCCTCCTTGGGCCGCGGCTGGGCCGTCGCTGAGGGCTCGGCCCCCCTGGCCACCCCATTCCCGGGAGGCCCAGCCCGGAGGCCCGCAGGGTTGTGGGAGCACAGGCCCCGCTCGGGCGGGCCCGACACGGGTACGGGAGGACCGCCCCGCAGGGCTAGGATCTAGCCCAGGCTCCCCGCGGGCCACCAGGTCGCACAGACAGGCCGTCTCCGGGGACAAGCGGCCTGTCCTCCGGCGCCCTCCACCCTCTGCGCCCGGGGGCCGCCAAATCAGAGAGTCGTCCTGGTTTGAAGAAAGAAATCTTTATTAATAATCTTAATAATAATAATACTGTCGGTTTGAATGGGCACACCCGGGAAGCATACAGAATGGTAAGAAAGGAAGCCAGGGCCCGGCTGCAGTCCTGGGGGGCGGGGCGGGCACGGCTGCGGCTAGAGAAGGGGCGGCGCGGGGGCTCGGACGGGCGGGGGCGGGGCTCTGTACACGGGGAATAGAAAAGGAGACTCGCTTCAGGAGCTGATGCAGAATATAAAGTGAGGTGTCGTCCTTTACTTTTTAAGTTTCATGAGACAGTAGTGGAGCCATGTTGGGAGCCTGGGTTGGTTTTTTTTAAATATTTTTTGCTGCTGTCCCGACTCCAGCTGCCTGCCTGGCCAGGGGCTTTTCCCTGTTACCTGCCGGCTGCTGCCCCTCCCCTAGGCCGCCCCTCCGGACCCACAGCTCTGTGACTCCCAAGCCTGCAGTGCAGCCCGGCGCTGGCCTGTCCCCGGCTCCCCGGCAGGCCCGGGCTCTCTGCAGGGCAGTGGCGGGGAGGGCTCGTCCCGGCAGGCACCCTGAGGTCAGCTGTCCCTCCCACAGACCAGGCTCAGGGCGTCCTCCAGAAAGGGAACCAAAACCAGCCAGTCAGAGAGCAAGTCCTTGGCCTCGAGTCCTTCGCCGCCTCGCGTTCTCAGGTACAGGAGTCAGTCCTGGCTGGGTAGCCCGGGGGCCCCCTCGCGTGGAGGGAGGGGTGCCCGGGTGCCCCGTAGTTCTGGAACCACATCAGCCCTTGGTGTGGGGGTCGGACCCCGGGGCTGCTGGCTGGGCAGTCTCAGTGGCCCGTGAACGCCTTCCCCCGGTGCGCAGGGCACGGGCGTGGGTGGCGTGGCATGGGGGGAGCGGGGCGCAGAGCGCACGACACAGGGTGGCGGGCACGGGCTGAAGCCAGAGCCCCGGGAATGGAAAGCGGCCCCCCTCCCCGTGCCCGCCCGGCCCGGCTGTCCCCTCCACTGGCACAGTTGGCAACAAAGGTCAAGTCCTGCTGGCCCGCTCTTCCCCGCGAGGCCTGCGGCCCCTCCTCCGCGGGCCCCACACTGCCTTGGGAGCGGGGGCCAGGAAAGGAAGACTGAATAGAAAACGGAGGCCCCCCAGCGCGGCCCCTGCCCGCGTGGGGAGGGGCGCGGCGGCGCTCCTGGGCCTGGTGGGCGTGCTCCTCGCTGCGGTTCCCCGGCGCGTGAGACCTGGACGTGGTGGATGCATCTTGGTTTGGTTGGTTTTTGTGTTGCTTGGATCTTAACATCTTTTTTTGTGTGGTTTTTTGTTTTGTGATTTTTTTGTTTGTTTTTTTGTTTTTGCCCTTCGTGGTCCGAGAAGGAGACGGCGGAAGCTCTCACTACAACAGAAACAGAAAGGGACGTGCAGTTTCACGGGAGCGACTGCAGGCGTGTGGCGGGGACAGGGCCCGAGACCCCGCAGGGCCGAGGGCGGGCGCCAGGGACGTGCCCTGCGGTCCCAGCGCCCCCCACTCCCCTGCTTTCAGGACCCATTATCTTGTGGGTGCTGGAGTCAGAGGGGACGTGCGTCCTCCAGGGCAGAGGGGGGCAGGAGTGGGGGAGCCACAGGGAACCTGGTGGCAGGCAGGCAGGCAGGCAGGCTCTGCTGGGAGGAGGGCGGAGGTCAGGCGCACTGCGGGCAGCGAGGCAGCAGGGAGGTTGGCGCCCTGGGCAGTGGGTGGTGTGTGGCTGGCGCCCAGAGTGGGTCTGCCCACCCCTCCAGCAAGGAACCAATGCCCTGGCTGGCAGGGGCCCACACCTAGCCCCTAGCCGGCCGTCAGCTCTCGGAAGCCCAGCTTGGGCACCTTCGGTCGCCCACCAGGGCTCCTTGGCCCATGCCGCTGCTTCCTGCCCTGGAGGTGCCGGCGGCCAGGGTCTGGCCGGCCCGGGCGGAAGCCTTCGGAAGCTCCCTCGGCTGCAGCCCCCAGCCAGCATCCCCTCCCCGAGCGCGTCTGCCCTGGGGGTGTGTGAGCTCACGGGGCAGAGCTAAGCCCCGCGCCTCTCCAGGTGAACGGGTGACACAGAGCACTGTCCCGCCACCCAGGCTGGGGGTGGGCCTCACCCTACGCCTGGTCCGCTCTCCGGCCAGGCCTCCCCTCTGAAATAGCCCCCGATCAAAGGGCACGTCTGAGCCCTGGGAGGGGAGGAGGTGTCGTGGATCCAGCGCACACACCCAGGCCAGGCTGGCGGGGACCCGCCTTGGGGACACCGTGGGCAGCGGGGCCCTTCAGGGGGCACAGGTGTTAGGCCACCGGGCCTCCGGGCAGGGCAGTTTCTTCCTTCGCTTTGATTTCTTACAACAGAGGCTGGTGTGGCTCCTGCAGACCGGCAGGAGTGTCAATAAAGTTTAATCAGGGAGGTTAGTTTCAGCTGGGTGGGAAATCGGGGCGCGCACACCGCTCCCGTGGCTTGCCGCGTGGCGGGAGGCCTGTCGAGGCTGTGACCGCCCCCTCCCCCCACCGATGGCGGGGGGCAGGAGCCCCTGGCTCCCAGCAGCCAGGGGAGGCCGGCTGGGGCGGCTTCCCAGGCCAGGCATCTTCGGCGGCTCTGCAGACCCCAGGAAGGGCGTGGGCCGCCCTCGTGCGTGCGGTTCTATTGCTGGCTCTCGGGGAGGGCCCTGTGCCCAGCCTGCCCCTGCCCCTGCCCCTGCCCCTATGCGCACACCATACCTGAAATGGCTTGGGAGTCGGGGGGGGGCACAACGTCAACAAAGCCAAAATAGGAACCAGGGTTTCAGACAACAGGGGTAACCGGGGTCAAAGACACACACGCCATGGTGGGGGGCCCCGCTGGCTGGAGGTGAAACCTATGGACTTTAGCGTCGCGAGGTCAGCGGCGCACTGTCCTCCTGCTGGCTGGGCCTGGCTTTGGGCTGCTGGGTTTGGTGTGTACTAGACAGTCTGTGAATGCTGTTAGGGGCTGGGCCTCTTGCTAGTAGGGGGTGAAGCGGCTGTGCCCTCCTCGGCAGAGGCTAGCCTGCAACATCAAAGGTGAAAGACAGCCAGTCAGTGCCGCCTGGGGTCGGTGGGGCGGGGGAGCCAAAAGAAAAAAAAAAGTAAGGAAAACCAAAAAGAGAACCAGCTAACTCCCGTTTGATTCCTGCGCCCCCTCCGGGTCTGCTTGGGGAGAAGGGTGCGGGGGGCTGTGTCTGAGGTCCTGGTGGGCTCGGGGCCGGGGCGCCGGGGCCTGCAGCCACCACGCTGCTGGGTGACAAGGTGTGGGCAGTCTCCCCGGGGCTGGCCTTTCACCGCCCCTTTCTGCTTCCTCCAGGGAGGGGTGAGCCATAGACCCACCTCCAGAGCGCCCGCAGCTGCCGTGAGGCAGGGCTGCGCCCTCCAGACGTGAGGGCCCCACGTGTGGCCTCCCTGGGAGCGGCTGTGCTTGCCTGCCCAGCTCCAGGAGCTTTCCGGGGTCACCAGGTCCCCTGCTCTGTCCCTTGGGGGAGAGCTTGTGGGCGTTCTTGCTCTGCCCCTGGCCCTGGCTCAGGGAGGCCCCAAGGAACCTCCCACCTCCCCCGCCAGTTTTGCCAGAAAAGGCAAGAGAGTGGCAAGTGCCAGAGAAGAAAAGTTGGGGGGAAAAACAGAAAATCATAAAAATAAAAAAGCGCGAGGGAACCCTCTGTGGGTCAGCGCAGGCCTGCAGCCAGCAGCTGTGCGCGGGCTGAGCGGACCCAGAGGCCGCGGGCCCCCAGAGCGGCCTGCTCCCTGTGGCTGCCGGCGGTCACCGCAGGCTGCCTGGGGTGTCTGAGGCTCGTTAAAAATCAAGACAGACAAAACAAAAATTGGGAGGGAGGAAGCAAAACCAAAGGAGATGGGGAAAAAAAAACCCTATTGGCTCCGAACCTCCTCCTTGCTTACCACCCCCCAAAACAGGTTTTCATCTTTGATGCTGGACGGCAAGCCAGCTGAAAGCCGACGCTCACGGCCCGGGGTTGGGGGGCAGGGCGGGCACAGGAAGTGGGTGTCCCCTGGAAGCAGACTGCGGGGCACAGGGAGAGCAGGCCGTATGTGTTGACTGCTGGCCGCACACAGGTGCGCACACAGACGCGCTGGCCCGTGCGGAGCCCCGCTGCTCCCCGGGGCCGCGGAAGAGGCTGGGGAGCGGGAGCGCGGCAGATGGCGGGCAGCCCTTGGTCCCCACTCGGTGCGATGGGAGGAGGCACAGGAGGGACGACAGGACACGGAGGGGCCACGGCACGGACACAGCCACAGGAGGGGACGCGGGCCCTGCCTGCCTCAGGAGCTCGGCTGGGCGGTTCCGTGGGCTTCCCCGAGGGCAGCGCGGGCCCCAAAGCCAGCGCCGTCACTGAGCCGCTCTCTGACCGTCCGTCCAGGCGGACCTGCTTCCTCCTAACTCCACAAAGCCACACGGGCGAGTCCCCTTCCCCCGCCCCCAGCTCAAATCCTGGCCTTGGTCCCGCCAGCCACTGCGCCCCAGACCCTGGTCTGAGGTCTGGGTCCTCCTCCTAAGGGCCGGCCCGCCCACCCCGGCCACAGCGCCGTGCTCTCTCCTCCTGGCGAAGCCGAAGGCCAGCCCCCAGCCTCCTTACCATGGTTCCGATGCTGTAGGTCGCCGCGGGGCCGAGGGTGTGGTGGTAGGGGTCGGCAGCCGCGTAGACGCGGCCGTAGCTGGGGAGACAGTGTGGGGAGGGGTGCGAGTGGGGGGAGGTGAGGGGCGGCAACAGGCCTCCCACCTCCTCCCAGACCCGTCCTGAGCATCCTCCCAGAAGGTCCCTCCCCTGTACCCCCCTCGCCATCCTTCCTGCCTGTTTGGAAGGAAGTGTCTGGACCACGGCGGGCCACCCTCTTAATATGTCCAGCGTGCTGGCCTGATGGGGGTCGGGGGTGGAGACCTGTTCTCGCAGGTGCCACAGGGAAGAGAACGGGTCCTCACAGGGCTCTTAGGGAGGGAAAAGCCCCCGGTCCCCAGAGACGGGGGCCAAGTTCAGAAGGAATTTGGAGGCAGGGGCTGCGTGGGGCGGAAGTCGCAGGGACTTCGATGCCAAGGAGGCAGGTGGCATGGTGTCCCTTTGATGAGGTTCCTCTCCCTCAGTTTCTTTTGCGTGTGAAAGAGGCCGGGCCGAGCTGTGGGGCCTACTCTGCACCTGACAAAACACTTGCACCTGAGCCACAGAGGCTGCGAGGAGGCGTGGGCCCGGCAGGCGCGGCACGTGCTGCCTGCCGCTGGGAGCGAGGGCCAGGCATCCCCAGGACAGAGCCGGCACCGTGGGCAGGAGCGACGGCTGCCCTCCACCAAGTGCGCACCGTGCGCCCAGCATGGCGATGCGCACCCTCCCCCCAGCGGGGGCTCTGCAGCCAAAGGCTGAGCACCCACAGGACCCGGGGCAGGCGGGGGCCCCCGGGACCTGACCCGAAAACACACACCGCTGTCCAGTGTCGCAGGGGCCTCCCTGCCCCTCCCGTCTCCTCGCGCCCATGAGAGGAGGCAGGTGCGCACCACGTGCCCTTCCTCTTTGGCGCCGGAGGCCTCAGACCTGGGAGCACCTGAACGTCAGAGGCTCTGATTTCCTCCCTCACCCGGGGCCTCCAGAGCCGGGGGAAGAGCTGTCTGCCACCTGGGAGCTGGGGGCCCACAGCCTCCCCGTCATGCAAGCAGGAAGTGGTTACAGAAGTTGGGGGGCTTGCTGTGTTGGGGTCTCCAGACCCACTCAGACCTGCTCTCCTCTGTCCAGACCCTGCCCCCAGGCCCCTGAGCAGTGGGTCCGTCCCGTCTGTCTGCGCCCAGCCCTGCGGGGCCAGCCCACTGCCTCCCCACTCGCTGTCCCCGGGGGTACCTGTCGCTGTAGGCCGCCGCCGCCGCCGCCGCAGGTTGAGCGTATCTGTAGGCTGCGTAGCCTCCCTGCAGGGTAAGGGAGAGGGAGAGACGCACAGGGGCTTAGCGGGGCGGACACAGCCTTTCAACCTTCACCCTTGGCCCCAGGGACGCAGGGGAGCCACGTTCTGCCCCATCGTACAGTGCTCTGCAAAATGGGGGGCCACGCCTTTGGCTCACCCGGCTGCTGGCAGACCCCTCACTCCTCCCAACATGAGTGCAGACGACCCGGCTCTGGCTGTGGGCGGTCCCCAGGGATGCAATGTGCCCCACCCCCTCCACCACCCCAGGCTTGGAGGACAGGAGTGGGGTGGGGCTGGGGGGACACCGGCCCTTCCTGGGGCAGCCAACGCCTGGGCAACTCCCCCCTCCCCCGGGCGGCACTTACGTAAATCTCAGCACCATAAAAGCCATCCTGATACACGACCCTGGAAGCAAACGGACAAGAAAGTGGTGGGAACGCTGGAGAGGTGGGGTAGGCCGGCTCCGGTGTCTGCTGAGGAGGGAGGGGGCAGGGTGCCAGCCCTGCCCACGGGACTGGCATTTTAGCAAGCGTTTGCTCCAGTGCCCTGTTTTGGTATAACAATAGAGTAACACCCTTGCTGGTCAGCTCCTTTCTCCCATGAACCCAGGGGCCCACGGGCCCTTCTCGCTTATCCCCTCCCCACTCCTGCAGGGCGGCTGTCCCCCCGACGGGGGGAGGGCGCAGCGCCAGGGAAACGGTCCAGCGGGGGCTTAGAGAAGGCCCTCGCTGACCTCCAGGGCCAACCAGGATCCCATGGAAGCCTCTGGCTGGGGCTCTAAATGTCCCCTAAGTGCCAGTGACCTTTTGGCAGAGTAAGGGTACCGCCTATCAAGATGAGAATGCGGCGCCAAGGTCTGGGGGTTCCCACAGGCCCCCACAGTTCTGGAAAGGCTGCCTAAGCCCTCCAGCTGCCCCAGGCCGCCCTCCCCACACTCCCTGGGGCCTTTCTCCGCGCCTCCCTCCCCGTGCGCCCCCGGTACTCACGCTCCGTACGTAGGGATGGGGGGCGGAGGCGGCGCAGCCCGAAACGTATTGTACACGGCCCGGCCCCGGCCCCGTAGGTGTGCGCCCCTGTAGGCAACGGCTGTGCCTGTGGTGGGGTAGGGGAACCCCGTCACTGCAGGAAAGGAGGCGAGAGAGGGGAGAGTGAGTGGGAAGGCAGAGAGAGGGTGCGATGGGTCGACAACCCGGCCCCTGCGCGGGGGCGGGGGGGGCGCAGGCCACGCCCTCCGCCACACCCACCGGCCCTTCCAAGCCACGCCCCCACCCTCCCCGTTCCAGAGCTCCAGCCTTTACCTGCATAGAATTCAGGCCCGTAGACTGCGCCTACCACGGGGTTGAGCTTCCAGCCTAGAACAGAAGCAAAGAACCCGATCACTGCCTTCCCCATCCTCTCCCTACCGCACGCTACGCCTGCGCCCCTGGGAGCACCCCCCACCCCGTGACAGATTGCTGGCGGGACCCCTTCCCTCGGCGGTCTGAGCGCGAGCAGGAGGCGACACACTGACCTCGGGCCTCTTGAAAGCTGCAGCCTCACGAGGACCTAATCACAGGGACCGAGCCGCTCGCCACCCACCCGCCTGGGAGTCTTCTGGGTTCTTTCCACACTGAGGCCCTCCCCAGCCTGCCCGGGGCCACCCCTGCCCGGCGCTGGGGCTCCCCTGGGCCCGTGATTTCTGCGGGAGGGCATCGGGAAGGGAAAGCGGAGCACGCCCTGCAAACGTGGGCATGCCCCCAACTGGGACAGGGGGCTTCTGGAGGCTTGGCAGAGCCCAGTTGTGGGAGCGCTGCCTCGAGAGGGCTCTTGGTCGCCTTCCTGGAGGGTCAGAGCCTGCCCAGAGGGAGCCCCCCCTACCCCCCGCCCCCGCCCGGAAGCTCTCCCCGCCGCCTGCGGCAGGGCCTGTGTCCCGGGGCCAGCCCCCGAGCGCTGCTTTTCCCAAAGCTGAATCCTCTTTCGCGCTCCTCCTATTTGTTCCCAGAGCAGCCCGCGGAAGGTGCCTTCGGATTCTGATAGTAAGGACAGCTGGCGTTTCCTGGGCACGTTTCCGGGTGCCACTCATTCTCACCCACTGCGGGCACGCACCCTCCCATTTTACAGATGAGGAAGTGGAGGCTCAACAGGGCAGCAGCCTCACACCACGGAGCTGGCCTGGGGCGGAGCCAGACCCAGGTCCTGGCCACGCCCTGGCTCTCGCTTGCTGCTCTGGGCCAGCCTTCGTCTCCGGCCTGGGGCCTCGGGTGGCAAGCAGCCGGCTTTGAGTGGGCTCTGGCCCCAGGCGTTCAGACAGGCGCCCCTCTGCAGGGCAGGTGACCCTGAGCCTCCCGGGGCCCATCCCCCACACTCTCCAGGAGCCTGCCGGCTGCCCTCCACCAATGGCCCCGACGACCTCACAGCACACACACGTGTGTGTCTGAACGCTCCTGCTGGGCACAGAAACGCCTATAAATCTCGGGGAAGGAGGGAAGAAACGCTCTGTCTCCTGGGGAGACCTCCAGTCCCAAGAACTGAGTCGCCTCCGTAAGAAGCCGCGATGGAGCTGAGTCCTGGCGGCACGGCCCAAGCCCACCTCCGCCGGCCTCTCCCCCGGTGGCTCCCAAGGCCGCCCTCGCAGGTGGGGCTGCTGCTTCCGGCGGCTCGGCCCTTCGGCCCGCCGGCTCTGGAATCCCAGGGCCCTCTGTCACTCTGGCTTCCTGGTGCCTCCACCTGTCAATTCCAGGCCATTGCCACTGTCAGGGTCCCCAGAGCAGAGGCAGCCTGAGGTCCACCGTTCCTGAGGTCCCTCCTCTCTTCCTTAAACAGCAACACCTGGTCACGCCAGGGGAGCTGCTGCTCCACAGGAACACCCCTCAGCCGCTCTCGCAGCCGCAGCCGGCGCGCGGCCCGCGCTGCTTCCTCGTCGGAGAGGACTGGCCGCCTCTGCCGTGGGGCGGGCGGCAGCGCTGCTCGGCGGACACACGTCCTGGGCCAGCGGGACTTCCGCCGGTGGCCTCAACCTCTCCGTACCCCCAGGGGCCAGCAGCCTGTCCCTGCCTTCGCTGTCACTCTTGCTACACACTGAGCGTCTCTGGCCTGGGTCTTCCCTGAGAGCCTGGAAATGAGACCACCCAGGAGGTGGTCGCCACCCCACGGGGCCTGCAGCCTGCTCGCGCGGCCGCCGGGGGGCCAGCTGTGGGCCTGGGGGTGGGCCGCCCCAGCTCTCCTGCTGGCCGGCCTGCCGCTCTGACCGGGAGAGCTCAGCCTCGGCGGCGGCGGGGGGCGGCCTCAGCATCCAGGAAGGTCAGCCTCCAGCAGCCTGGGCTCCTTCAAGGCCTCCGTCGGCCCCTGCAGCCTCCCCGGGGTCCCGGGCCCCTTACCGTTGGTGTAGGGGTTTGAAGTCTTCTTGTTGGTCATGACTCGGGCCGTGGCGTTATTGACCTGCCCAGAGAGACGGAGCGGAGGGTGAGGGGGGCCTCAGGCCCCGGGGGCCACGGGCCACCCCAGCCCTGCTCTGCACTTCTGCACGGCCCCCTCGGAGGGGGCGGCTGGGGGTGGCGGGGGAGGGTCTCCTCTCCCGGCTGCGCTGCCCCCTCCGGGAAGCCTTGGCCACGGCTGCTCCCTCGGCTCAGGGACGGCGCCGACTCCCTAGCTCTTGCCGACCCACGGCAGTTCCACAAACTCGGTCCCAGCCTCTCCCTGGCAGCCCAGGGTCACTGGAGAAGCCAGCTGGCGGCCCCTCCTCAAAGTGCTCTCAGGCCAGCTAGAAGAACGGCCCCCGATCATCCCCAGCCCAGGGGGCCGTGGGCAGAGACCCTCGAGCTGCGGCACCGGTGTCCACCCCGCTGCCCCAGTCCCCTGAGGTCACAGCTTTCTGATGGGGCTCCCGGGCCCATGGGGGACAAGGCCAATGAGGGAGGGGCAGGCGGGTGCCACGGGCTGGGCCCTTCTCTCCAGACCGCTAAGCCCCAGGGGCTGGGTGCACGTTAGGAAGTGGGGGGAGACCTCTGCAGGAGGGAGCAGAGAGCAGGGCAGGGCGGGAGAAGCTGAGGAGGGGCCTGTGTCAGCCCCTGGGGCCTTGGGCACAGCCTTGGGTGCCACCGAATGCCCGGCCGGAGCCTGGCCAGGGTCAGTGCCTCCAGAGCTTCCTCCTCTGGGACCCTCCCCAGGCCTCTCCCAAGTGCTGTGCGCTGGTCGGCTGCCGACCCCGCCCTCTGCACCTCGCCTGGCTGCCCTGTGCGGGTGGGGACGGGGAGCCCCGGTCCCCGACACCCCGGGCCGACACCCGGGCCGCAGCCCTGGTGAGGGACAGGGAAGAGGCGGGGCTGTCGGGGGCCTTGCCTCCTCTTCCCGCCGCTCCCCTGGGCTGCGTCCCATTCTAGGCCCTGGCCTCGTGCTGCCGACCCGTGGGGGCCAGGGCGAGGGAAGCGGCAGGCTGGAGGGCGGGGGTCTGGGCGGGTTAACCCCCCAACTGCAGGCCGGGCCAGGCTGGCACGGTCCTCAAACACATGACTGCTGGGGTCCTCCCGGCGTCTGGCGAACCCCGCCGTTGGGGGCTCTCTTTCAGGAAGAGAGGAAGCAGGGCCGGGGGCCGGGGTCCTTGGGTGGGTCTGAAGCGCAGACCCACAAGTGCGGCCTGGGGCTCTGCTTCCCCAGGGACCCGGCCGGTGCTCACAGGGCACAGGGGGGCCGGGGGGGCCCGGGGTGACGGGCGTCCCTGCCCCGGCACACTTATCTGAGCACCTCAATTTTCCGTCCCTCTACGATCGTCCCATTCAGCTCCTCCCGGGCTCGGTCAGCATCTGAGCCAGTTTCAAAAGTTACAAACCCAAAACCCTGCGAGCAGAGAAGGACAGACACGGAGAGAAAGACAGCGGATGAGAAAACGGGAAAACGAACAGGAGGCGTGGGGGTGGGGGGGCAGAGGGGAGGGGGACGGGGGGGGAGAGAGAGAGAGAGAAAGGGGGGTCGAGTCAGCTGAGTTGAAGGAGAGACTCAGGCAGCCCAGAGGTCTATCCTGGTGCCGCCAGGAGGGGCGCGGCCCCGGGCGGGGGCGGCCTTTGTCTTGGCCGAGCGGGGCCTGGGCGGACCACCTGGCCTCTCCCAGGGGACCGGCCAAAGCTGCAGGAGACACTGACCCGGCCAGGGTCCAGGACTGTTGGCCTCACCCCAAGGCTGGGTTACACGGCCTGGGGGGGCGCAGCCCGGGGGGGGCAGTGTCTTCCGGAGCAGAGAGCAGGGGTCCTCTTAGCGGGCACCCTCCCGCCGGCCCGCCCTGCGGCCCCTCCCCCCGCCTCGGGGCTGACTCCCAGGCCGGCGGGGGCCGGGCGGGCGGGCAGGAGCGCCCCGTCCCGGTGCAGACAGAGAAGTCCTGGCAGCTCAGAGAGAAGGAAGCGTCAGCGGCGGCAGCAACGACAACACAGACAGTGGGGTGGGGGGGGCGGAGGAGGGGAATACAAGCACCCGTGTCGCTCAGGGGTCCTCGGGCGCGAAGCTCTCCAGGAAGGAAACGCACATTTCACACGTTAGCCTGGCGGGACCTACAGCCGGCGCTGTAATGGTGGCGGCCTCTGGGCGGCACCCACCTTGGAGCCCCGCTCGTTAAAAATGATCTCCACGTCTAAAATTTTTCCAAATTGCTGCGGAGACAGAGAGGGAGGGGAGACAGCGGAGGGTGGCGGGTTAGGACTGCTGGCCTGGCAGCCTGCTCCCTGGAGGCCCCCAGCAACGCAGAGCCCGCCCTCCGCCCTGCGCCCTCCGCCCTGGCGGGACAGGAGGACAGGCTCTCCGTGTGGCCCGCGGGGACAGGGACACCCTCCCTCCTCCTTGTGCAGAGAGCTCCCCCTGCCAGGATGCCGGGCTCTGGCTGGCGACAAGGCGGAGTGCAGCGTCACTGTTCCCAGTGTCTCTCCCCTCTCTCTACGGGGACTCTGCCACCTGCTGCTGACAGGCACCCCCAACTCACACTAGAGGGACAGTCCTTCCCACCGGGTGGGTGCTGGGGGCAGCAGGCGTCCCAGAAGAGAAAGCGCCCCAGAAGGCCTTGCGGGTCTGCGGCCTGCACTGGTCGGGCTGGACCCCAGGCCCCCGCCTGACTAGGACACACCGGCCCGGACACTGGCCTCGGACACACGGGGCAGCCCTGTCCTTCTCCCTGGCACGCGAGACTGTCAGCCTGTGACTAGGTTCCCCGAAATGCCAGCGAGCTCCTGAGAGGCCTGTCCTGGGGTCTCCAGGGCAGGCACCGGTGGGGTTTCCCTGCACCCCGAAACACCCCGGGGGTGGTGTCACGGGGCAGCGAGGCAACGTGCAGCCAGCCGGCGGTGCCATCCCCACTCTGCCGAGGAGAGCGGGGGGCGGGGGGTGCCTGCCCTGGCGGGGGCGCCGTGTAGGCGCCGGGTGGGGTGGGGGGATTTCCAGGGCCGGCGAGGCCCCGCCGCACAGCTGCCGTCTGCGGGGCCCCAGGCTCGGAGGGGCTCGGCGGCTACGGGGGTCCGCGGCTTAGAGGGGCAGGGTCCCTGTCTCCTGATGATTCTACACCCTGCCAGCTCCCCGCTGGGTCAACCCCGAATCCCGAGGGGCCTGGCCCCCAAGGAGGGGAGCGGATATCAGGCGAGGTCAGGCGTGGGTGCTGGGCCCGGCCTGAGGCCGCCCGCTAGGCACCTGCCTCATAGACCCCGCCTGAGGTGGGGGTGGCGTGGGGGGCTCGGGGCCCGGGTCCACCTCGCTGGCAGCCGAGGTGGGGGTGGCACAGTGCAGGCCAGACGGGGGTTCGGAGTGACAGAGGGCGGGGAGGGATCCACGTGGGCCAGGCGCGTGGGTCCCCGTGGCGGGGCGGTCGGGAGCCTGGCTGCTGCCCGCCGCCCACCCACGTTGCAGCCCAGCACCCAGTGGGCGTCGGCGCCTGCTGGGTGGTCAGTCAAGTGACAGAATAAAGTCACCGCAGCACTAAAGGGCTCTGTGCAGGCTCTCACAGCGCCTGGCTGAGGCCCTGCCGCACAGAACTAGGGACCGGCCCGAGGAACCAGGGACATCGTCCGGCGCTCGCTTCCCACGCGTCCTCCTGGGGCCCCAGCCCTGAGCCCGGCCCACGCCGGCCCAGAGGGGTGGGAGCCAGGCCCCCAGGCACAGGGCGGGCGCGGGGGCCGGGCGGCTGCGGGCGAGGCTCGGGGCCCGGAGCCCTCGTCAGAGGACGGCGGCGGGTTAAGACCCCGATGGGCACTGGCCCTGGCCTCCCTGTGGAGCCCGAGGAGGTGGCGGGCTTGGTGGGCTGACATCGGGCGGGGGCGGGGCGGGGGCTGCAGCAGGTCCTGCTACCCTGACCTGTGCCGCCCCTCGTCCCTCCCTCCCGCCCCGCGGGCTCAGGCCAGGGCTGGCTGGCCAGGAGGGAGGGGGCAGTGGGGACGGAGACCCAGGGGATGCTGGGGGCTGGGATGGGGGGCCCGCATACACTCACCCCGAACATTTGCCGCAGGTCGGGGTCCCTGAACCGGAAGGGGATGTTGGAGACGTGAAGCCGCTTGGGTTGCTGCTTCTCTGTGGGGTCGGAGGGGTGGAGTGGCTGGCTGTCCGTCTGTGCCGCCTCGTCTGTCTGCTGTGGGGAGAGGGCCTGGGTGTGAGGGGGCCCCTCTGGCTGCCATCCCATGGAGGGCGTGTCTAAAGACCAGGCCCTCCCACCTGTCCTCGGGCGGCCCTCCCCGCCCCCCCGCCCCGGGGCAAGATCCGCCAGGGCATCTGGGCCAACAGCCCTCACAGGACATGGCACGGCCGCGTCTCGGCCCCAGAACGGCCGCCTCCCTGGGCCCGGGGAACTGGCCCAGGCCCGGCCACGGTCCCTCAGCTCCATGGACCGTCTGGGTTCTCCAGGTCCCGGGTGTGCCCTTCTCCCCCACAGGGGCCCTCCCGGCTTTTGAGGCCTGAAGACCAAGGGGACATTTCCGAACCTGCCGCCAGGCACACACACCTGTAGTGGTGCTGCCCCCACCCCACAGTCACCTGGGGCCCTCTTATTCTAATTCTAGCCCCGCCCTGCTGCTCAGCGCTTTGGGGGCCCTGCTCTGCTAAGGCACAGGGACCAAGTTCCATCCTTTATAGCTGGTCCCCACTCTGCACCCAAACACTGTTTCAACAGAGGGGCTCGGAAGGGCTTGGGTCTCAGGAGACAAAGCTGCAGCTAAGCAGGGCCCCCACCCCAGCAGCTCCCCGCGCGGCACCTGCTGGCCTTTAGCCTGGGGCCCTCCCTGCGAATCCCGGCGCCCAAGGCCGCCCACAGGTGCTCCGTCAACGCTGGCTGGGTGATGAGAGGCTGCTGACCGGGGTGCCTGTCAGCTCACTATGGCCGGGTTGCCAGGGCCTGAGGCCGCCTGTGCGCCACTCAGCGGCCAGAGCTGCCGACTGCCAGCCAAGGACCCACTCCGTGGCGCGGCCCGTTGGCGAGGCGAGGCGGAGCCTCGGTGTCCCGGATCTGGCAGGGTGTCCTCAGAGGTGGCAGGGGGCGGTGGCCAGGTGCCTGGCTGCTGGGCGGCGGGCGCAGCACCGTGGGGAGTCCGAGGAGAATGCCATGTTTATTCCCGCTTCCCTTTCCCGTCTCCATTGCTGACTCCTCTCCCGGGGTCCCCTTGGGACTGCCCCCCCAGTGCACGGCTTGGACTTGCCTCCTTGTCCCCAGGTCACTTCCAGGACAGGACCCCGCGCAAAGTGTGGGGGCCCTGGCCGCAGTGACACCGCCCTGAGCCCCTCTGCTCTGCCTGGAGAGAGCGAAGGCGCAGGGAGGCCCTCGACTCTGCGTCGGAATTTGCGCAAGTGGGTGGCTGGGCCGTCCCGTGTAGCCTGAGGGACAGAGGCAGCTGGCCGGCAGCGAGAGGAAGGAATTCTGTTTCTGCTGGGTGTCTGTCGCTGGCCACCAGAGGAGCACTGACCAGACAAGCCCCCGGAGGTGGGACAGGGTGAGGCCACTGTGCTCGAGACTGAGGCAGTGGAGCCCTAGGGGCAGAGGCTTGCCCAGGGCACCCTGAGGCCAAGGGCTGGGGCCCTCCGAGGCCGTCCCGGCCCCCCTCTCCTGCGCTCGGCCAAGAGGCCTCTGCCCCGGCTCCAGGGCAGCGGGTGCCCCGGGAGAGGGCGGGCGAGGGGCCCGAGGACACAGGTCCGGGCCCTGCTGGGAGATCTGGAGGGGCTTCCCGTCCGGTGTTGCTTAGACTCCGCTTTCCCGTGTCCAGAAGCGAGTGCTCGGCGTTGGGTTGGAGCCACCATCCCTTCGCGGCCCATGGCTCAGCAGGCCGGCTGGCCGCCCCGCACGGCAGCCCCAGCTCCAATGCGGGTGTGTTCTCTGAGCCCTTTGTCGGGCGTGGGAGGGACACTGCTCAAGGGTGGGCTGCCGGTGCCGCAGGGCCTGTTCCTTGGGGCTCAGCCGGTGCCGCCGCAGGGGCCACCCACGGGAGACGACTCCTGACGGGCACCGGGCAGCCGCCGGGGGGCTCCGGCCGCCCGGCCCGGCCCGGCCCCTGCGCAGCCTCCTGCCTCGGTGCCGCTCTGCCTCGCAGAAAGCAGGCCTGCGCTCAGCCCCCAGGGCGCGCATCTGGACGCTGGCGATTCTAGCCGCGGCGCGGGGCCCACCCCTGGCCACCTCAAGGTGCGGCTTTCCATGCAGCGCTCAGGGCGGGCCTGGTGCCCCGTGTGTGTTCCATGAGCCTGTGCCCTGGGCTGCTGCTAGGCCCAGGTGACAAATGGAGTCACCGAATCGGAAATCCAGCTGGGAGGACTTGCAATGCTGACTTCAGACCAGCAGAGGGCAGTGGCTAATGCAGCCTGGAGGCCTGGCCGGCACCCAAAGGAGACAGGGGAGTCCTACGCGGGGAGTGGGGGGAGGACCACAGGAAACCGGGCCCACTGGGTGTTAACAAGGTGCAGATGCTTCCCCCGAAGCCCTAAGGGGAGCCGCCGAGGGCCGGGGCTGCCATGGAGACTCAGCCGCAGCGGGGCCAGGACACCAGTCAGGAAGGCATGAGACAGCTGCGCGCAGGCAGATAAACGAGCTCAGCGACTGTCAAACTGTGGGATGCGCGGAGGAGCCCCGAGTGTGACGGCGCGCTGGCCGCCCGAGGGGAGGCAGAGGCCCTCCGGCATTTATCACAGCGGCCCAGGCAGCCTGGGCCGCTCTTCCGGGGGCTCCCCCCGCACGCCCCACCCCCGCACTCCCCACCCCCGCACTCCGCCTTCAGTGCATGAGCGCAGGGCGTCAGGGAGCCGCACCACCGACGCCCCGCCCTCCCACGGCGGGTCTCAGCGGCTCCGCTGCTGCGTCTTCCCCATCTCTGCGCCACCTTAGCCAGCACCCCTCCCCCCGCAACCCTTCCAAGGCCAGGAGCAGCAGTGGTGGGCTAGGATGGATCCCTGGCACCGCCGGCACACGGCAGCCCTCTCCGCCCTCTGGGAGCCTGAGACCCCTTCGCCCAGCAAACGGAGAGGCCGAAGGGGCCCCGGGCAGGGCCGAAGGGGCCCCGGGCATGGCTAGGGGGCCCCCAGCAGCAGACAAAAGACGCAGGCCCGGTTGCTGGGGTGGCGCCAAGGCTGGATGATGGGCGACGGGCTGAAGTGGGTCTTGCACACCGCCCTTCCCTGCAGCCCTGCACCCTGCTCCTCCAAAACCTCTTCCCGAGCGATGGCCGCCAGCCACTTGCCCGCCGCGCTCACCCCAGGGGGCGGCGGAGCCGCGTGGGAGGAAGCGGTTTCTGCTTGCGGCCTCCGGCCCTCGGTTCACGATGTCTTGCTCCCACCTCGGGGCTCTGAGCAGCCCCTCCTGTGGCAGCGCCTGTCCACTGTGGGCTGTTTGAACGACTCCACCTGCTGCGGCGCGGCTGCCACTGCTCTTGCCGGTGTCCTCTGCTTGCGCCGCGCCAGCATGGAGACCACGCGGCGGCCGGGGTCTCGCCCTGGCCTGGTTCAGGGGCGGCCCGTCTCGTCCTCTGCCTTTCCATCCCGCACTCCGACGCGGGGCACGCCCATGCCAGCTACGCCGGGGGTGGGAAGCGGCCGCTGGAATAAACACTCCAGGGCCAGAGTGCGCAGGCCCGAGGCGGCGGCCCTGTCTGGGCGGCTATGGGCCTTCTGTTGTCTAGTGACTTCCATCCGCTTTGCTCATTCGGCCCAGGGCCTGGAGAAGAACAGCCTGTCCTCCTGGTCCCCAGATGGCGACTGGCAGACCCTGACCCTTCGTAGGACCTGAAGAGACCAGGCCAAAGGAAGGGCGGTGGGGCTGCTGCCCCCCAGGCTGGGAGCTTTTCCGGGGCGGCGCTCAGCCAGAGCAGCGAGCCTCTCACGTCCCTCAGTGGGGACTTCTCTGGGGACTCTGGGTCCCCTCAGGGCCCACGGACTCAGCCACAGAGGCCACGACTGGCCCCTTCGACTTTTCTGTCCTTGGCTGGTGGGACGCGGCGGCCGTCACAGGGCAGGGCTGGTTGCTGTGTGTCCCGCGCTGTTCAGTGCCCGGCACACAGCAGGTGCCCCACAGGCGTCTGGAGACCGAGGGCGGGAGCCCTGGTGTGGCGGAGGCCCGGGCTCTTCCTGTGGCGCAGGTGCTGGCTGTCGGCCTCTGCTCCGTGGCGCTGGGCACCTGATCACCTTGTCTCCCAACAGTGCTCCTTCCTGGGCGGACCCCAGGCTCACTGGGCGTCTGTGAGGCGGGCATGAGGCCTGACCAGGTGCCCCCGACCGCGGCTGTTCCTCTGAAAGAGCCCAGCTGGTCGGGGGACGCGCTCACGGCCAGCCCCTCCTCCGGCTCTGCACACCCCTCTTCCGAGCCTGCGCAGGCCATGGTTCGAGGTCTCGGAAGCCCATGCAGAGCAGCGGGAGGGGCGGTGGGCTCCCGAGTCTCTGACCCACATGCCTGGCTTTTTCCATCTGTAGGAGCCCTGGTGGCATCTATGGGAGACCCCGTACCAGGGACGGCAGTGCATGAAATCTGATGGCTCCGAGCAGCCTCAGGCAGGGAGGAAGGGCGCTGGTCGTGCCCCCGGCGAGGGTCCGGCCAGTCCCGGGGCCAGGGGGCTCTCGCCCCCGAGAGCTCGGATGAGGCCGCCCGCCCAGGGAGGGCGGGTAACATTTGGATCCACGCAGCACCTCGGGAGCCAGACTGGATTAGGGGAAGGGCCGACGGAGTGCGGTGGGGGGGCCCATCGACAGCCGCCAGGGCGCTGCCTCTCCTGGGCAGCTCAGAGCTGCTGGCCCCTCGCCCAGCTTGGCCAGCCAGCGCTGGGACCAAGCCAGCAGGGACGGTTGGATGACCCCGCAGCCACTGTGCAGCGGTGGGGGCAGGCACCTCGAGAGTGCATTGGCGCGGGGGTGGGGGCGCGCAGGAAGGGGCAGGCTGGCCGGAGCCCTGGGCCTGGTCCCTGGGAGGGTCGGCAGGGGAATGGCCACCACGCGCCACACTCCTTCCTATGGGGAAAGCGCAGGGCTCAGCCCTTTTTCCTCGGAGCTGCAGCACAACCACAGAGTCGAAGCTATCTGATTGGGGGCCAGCCAAGCAGGTAGATTGCAAGCGATTAGAAACGAGAGGAACGCCTGCCACGGAGACTGCGCTGGGGCCCCGGGCCGCCAGCCCTCCCGCTCGCCCCCAGGCTGCAGCCGCTTCCCTCGCTTCCCATTGACAGGTCACCGTGGCCTGGGACGCCCTCCGTTCCCCCACTGAGGGGAGGGCTGAAGCCTGGCTCAGGAAGCAGGGGCCAGGGAAGGGGGCAGCTGGCGGCGGCGGGCCCGCTTCCAGCCGGGTGGCTCCCCACCCCACTGTGCCTGGCTGAGCAGGCGCCACCAGGACGACGCTTGGTGTCCGGCGATGAGCAGCTGCAGGTGGGTGGGGGCATGCCGGGACCCCCGCTCTGGGCCCTGCGTCTCCACCCACGGGCTCGCCTCGCTGCCCGCCCGGGCCGCCCCGCTGGGTGCGCCCTGCCTCCCGAGCTCCGGGTCGCGGGGCCCTTACCGGCACTGTCTGGGCCGCCGCGATGGGCTGTGTGCTGGCCTCGGCGCCCGGCTGCTCGGGGTGGGTCTGTGCTGGTGTGTATAGGGTCATGCCGTGCTCCGGGGGAACGGGGGTCTGGCCCGAGTAGTCCTGCGTGGGGTGCGGCGGGGGCGGGGCGTACTCGGCGGGGATGCCGTTCTGCGGTGGCGGGGGGTACTGGGCGGGGGGGTAGGGCTGGGCCATCGCTTCGGGCGGAGCCGTGGCGTCCTGACTGCCCTGTGGAGGGAGAGAAAGAGAGAAGGCTGGTCAGATTCCTGGGGAGGCCCTGCCCGGGCCCCCACCCCCAACCTCCCCCCCAAAATCTGGGTGCCAGGGGAACCAACAGTGTAGGGCATTGAGTCAGCCCTGGAGGAGTCCCTCAGCCGCAGAGGTGGGACGGGGGTCCCTCGTGGTGTCGGGGGGAGGGTGGGCTGGGGCGGTTCTGGCTTTTCCCGCCCTCCATCCTTCACTGCGGACGTGTACTGAGGGCTGGCGGGCCGCAGCCCCTCTGAGCCGCTGAGGCGTTCTCGGGCCTGCCAGGTGTGTCCCCAGGGACAGACAGGTGCCAGCTCTCACAAGAGCGGCCCCGCTGCAGGGAAGGACCCTTGTGCAGGTGTGGGCAGTCTGGCTCTCCCCAACTCTGTGCCAGGGGCAGAGCCCTGCGTGTGCTCCCTGCACCCCCTGCCACACTGGCTGGGCACGCTGGGTGTCTTGTCTCCTTGTCCACCTTCTCCCACCGCGAGATGGGCAGGGAGCATGCTGGGACTTGCTCCCTGCGCAGCCTTGATTCAGACGCTACTTACTCACCTAACGACTGTTCACTGGGTGTCTGGGGGTCGGGACAGGCAGCCCCTGCCCCGGAGGGGTCTGCAGTCCAGTAGGAGAGGGGGCAGCTATTCAGACAGTGACGCCGAACTCTGATCAGTTTTTAGAGCACGAGGTGCCCAGAGAGGCCTGGCCACGTGGGGGCGACGGTGAGCCAAAGGCCCTGCCAGGTGTTCTGCCTCCAGCCCTGCCCTGCCCCCACAAACACCTGCCTGCCCCCTCCCATGTGGACAGAGGCCTGAGTCTGCTCTGTGCCCAGGGCCCACCCACCCTGCTCCCAAACCCCCAGCACCGGCCTCTGCTGTCGCAGCGCCCGACACCCCCAACTCCCGGGTGACCCCTGATGCCTCGCGAGCAGAAGTCCTGTCCTCCTTGGCGAGGCCGCTGGGTACCCCTTCCCCACTCTGCAGAAACTGGGGCAGCGTCGGCGCTCCTGACAACGGGGGGAAACACGCGTGTGCGTACACACCGAACGCGCGCCCCATGCAGGCGCCCCGCCCCCCACCTCATTGCTGCAGTCACCGGCGAAGCCCCACAACGCACTGATAGCAAACGTGTAGGTGACGTCCCGCAGCCCCCAGGTGCGGGGGAGAGGCAGGCTCAGGGCGAAGGCGGCCAGGGCCTGGGCCGGGGAGCCAGGAGGGAATTGTGGGAGAGCGACGGTGAGGGGGAGGCGGCTCAGGGGATCAATTAACAGATAAATATTTGATTACAACCTTCGCTAAGTTACATCCTCCCAGCGCCCCTTCCTCCCCACCTCCTCCAAGGCTCCGAAAAGGGAGGCGGCTCTCCCGCCGGCTCCTTTCCCACCCCACCCCACCTTTCCCAGGCCCCCCTTCCTGGGTCCCGTTTGGGCTGAGTGGCAGCTGCCAGTCACTACCACTGCAGTGGACCCCGGGCTGGAGCCCAGCGCCCGCGCTGTCAGGGAGCCTGCGACACACAGCGGGGTCAGCTGGTGCTGGGAGGGCACCGAATGCGCCGGCCTGAAGGGGTCCGGGGTGCGTGAGAGGCAGCTGGGGGGTGGGACCGCGGGGGACGCTGGTGACATGAGCCCGTTCACCCCCTGCAGCCCACCGGGTGCACGCTGCTGCACCCTCCCTGCTTTGTGCCTAACAAGACGGCGGGCACTCGTCAGGATGGTGCCGGTGGAACAGGGACGGGCGAAGGCGGCCCGGCTCCCAAAACTGGTCCCCTGGGCCGCCGTGCATGACGGCAGCCCCTCCCACGAGGGTCCTGGGAGGGGTGTGGGGTGCGCAGGGCGGGGTTTCAATCCCCCCTTGTAGCAGCGGGGGGTCCTAGGTGCCCGTTCATCCTCGCTGAATGGGTCTCCCCGGCTGCAAGTAGCCACGTGGGGTGGACGGGAATGGGCGAGAGGATGGATAGATGGATGGACCGATGGACAAATGAACAGATGGGCGGACGGATGGATGGACAGGTAGATGGATGGACAGGTGGACAGCTGGACGGATAGGTAGGTGGACAGATGGGGTAAAGCTTAAAGGCCACACTCGAGTCCCTCACCTGCCTCCCTCGGCGCACCTGTCCCTCTCTCGAGGCGTCACATTCGCTTGGCAAACCTGGTGAGACCCGGCCCTGCCTACTCCACGGCCCACGCTGCTGGAGGAACACACTCACCCTGACCGATCACGTGGGACCCCCAAGCACTGCCCCTCAGTCCCCGCCACTGCAGAGCAGGGTCCAGTCCTTCCCACTGACACGTGCCCATAGCTCCCACGTTCGCGGCTGCCTCTCCCGTGATAGGAGCAGAAAGCCCTCCGGGGCCCCCCGGCTGCGCAGCCGACACGCCCAATGCACACCCCCCACGGAGCCAAGTTTCTTGAATGAGCTGTCTGGACCCGCGGCCCCCCGTTCCTCAGCTCCTGTTCTCTCGATCCCCCCAGGACCTGCCTTCCCGGGCCACCCACTGCCGAGGCGTCCCCGTCCCTGCCCCGGAGGAGCGCGTGGCCCTGCAGGGCAGCCGTGGGGGCCGAGAGGTGACGGTGCCATGGGGAGCCGAGGGCTGCAGACACGGGGGCGGGGCACTGAGTCGGGGGTGGGGACGAGGGACAGCGTCCCCGGGTGGGTGTGTGTGGCCGGTCACGGGGGCGGGGCCGGGGTTCTGTGCGTGACCCTGCCTGGCGTCTGCCATCGGCCCAGCCAGCCCTGCTCTGCCGTGTGCCTGAGAGGTGGTCTGCGGGGACGGGGTCCCGTGCTGTCCCCGGTGGTCCTGCTCTGCCCCACCATCAAGGTGGCTCTGTGTATAGTCTCCTCGTAAATAAACGTGAGTTGCTCTATCTCAGAGCGAGGGAGCCTGGTGTCCTCATTCCGATGACACAGTGCTGCGGGGCGATGGCCGGGCTTGTCACGCCCCAGGACAGGCGGGGAGGGCTCGGGACAGGGCGGGCCGGCAGGCCTCCCCAGGGGGCCCCGTGGCTCACAGCCTCCTCTCAGCTGCTGCCCGCCGGTGGGCCAGCCCTTGGCGCCGGGACCCCAAGTGCTGGCCCAGCGCCTCCCAGGGCTTGGCCTTTCCTCTTGGCCGGTGGAAGGGGACAGGGGCTTCTTGGCGGCAGGGGCTGGGCGGGAGGACCCTCCATCTTCAAGACCTGGAGCTAAGACCCCCGCCCCCCGCCAAGAGTCTGCCCCCATCACGGGCCCCGCCAGCATTCCCGTGTCCCCCGCTAGTGTGTTCCTGTCCTGCAGGGCGAGGGGCCCTTGTGTGGGGGCGGCGGTCAGGCCGGATGGGCCGGTGAAGGAGAAAGCAGAGGCAGAGAGCGCAGCCCATGGCGCCCAGCCCAGCCCTGCCCGCCCCCTCCCTCCGGGGCAATCAGGCCAGCCTCAGGCTGCTCCCCCGGGAGGGGCGCCGCCCCTGGCCCGCGAGCGAGGGAGGCTGGCGGCAGCGGCTGGGCACCGGCCGTTTCTCCGCCCCCTCTGGGCACAGGCCGCTGCCAGGGAAGCCGCGCCCCCCGGCCCCACTCTGGGGAGCCCTCGCCTGCCCCAAGAGGGAGATGGCCCCTCCCCCTTGCCGCCACGCCCTGCACACCCTCTTCGCCTGGGTTACCGGCGCCTGCAGCTGGCCAGGCATGGGACCAGGCAGCGGGACACACGGGGGTGGAAGGAGTGGGCTGGGCTCCCTCAGCCCCGGGCGCCCCGCAAACGGAGCCATTCAATCCGCCCGTCACCTGCAGAGGCAGGCACCACAGGCTGCGTTTCCCAGAGGGGACACCGCCCCCGAGCCTGAGGCCTCTCGCCTTGCTGACCACAGGCCTCTGTGTCTGTGGTGTGGCCAGGCCATTATTGAAGACTCCTGCCTGGAGAGCCCCCCGCTGAGCCTCCGAGCGGGGCCCGCGTCTGAAGCGGGGCGGGCCAGCCCGGCAGCCCACTGTGGCAGGCCGGCCACGTGGTCTGGTCCCTGCGGCTGCCAGTGACGCCTGCAACGGGACCTCAGGGCTCTGAGCTCGCAGCCTGGAAGCAGGGACGGCGCCTCCAGCCCCGGGGCTGCCCTGAGCGGCGGCCCTCGGCTCCCGAATCTTGGAACAGGAGGTGGCCGCAGGTGACAGGGGAAGCCTGCCGGACCAGCTGGGACGTCATCTGCACGCCCTCCCGACAGGCGTCCTCGCTGCCCACGCGGGGGACCTTCCACCTCCGAGCAGCTCTGCCAGGAAGCTCTTCCCCGCGCGGAGCTGAGATCTGCCTTCTGCAAACTCCCCGCCCAGCGCCCAGCCCGCCCTCAGGGCCCGCACGGCGGCCGCGGTCCGGTCCACAGGCCCATCCTCCACTCCCTGGCCCCGCGGGGGCTGAAGAGTCCCTGGCAGCCGGACCCGCTGCGGGACGTCCTCCGTGTGGCTCCGGAACACGCGGCCGCGGCCGTTCGCCGCATCTTACGGGTGAAGGAGGGACGCAGGCCAGCGCCCCACCCGATCCAAGCCCAGGCCACGCCCCGAATCGCATCGCCCCCCGACCGTCGCACGTCCCCACGTTTCCGCTCGCGGAGGCCCGAGGGCCCGGGCAGCACCCACCTGCTGAGCGGGGGGCTCTCTGGCCGTGCCTGGCGGAGTCAGGGGCAGAGGGGGCACTCCCGGAGCAGGGGACCGCCCCGTAACGTGGGGGGATCTGAGTGCCCGGCGAGGCGACGGCGGGGAGCGCAGAAAGGGCGTGGAGGGTGGGGGAGCCGTGGGGCAGCCCCCGGGCCACGCCTTCCGGGGCGACGTTCCTACGGTGTTTTTAAATGTGCTCATCTTAAGAAAGCGAACTTTTGGGGAAGAGATTTTTGAAAAGGAAAGAAAAAGAGGCGGGGACAGACGGTGATGTCAGGGGAGGTGGCCGGGCGCAGAGTGACTCCCGCGTCCTCGTGCTCCCGTGCCGGGCCGCGCCCCGTCCGGCCGCGTGTCGGCCGAGTTTGGCCGGGCTTTGGG